AGAGAGGGAGGGAGGGAGGGAGGGAGGGAGAGGGAGGGAGGAGAGAGATCAGAGAGATTGGTTGCCTTCCCCTATGTGCCCCAACCAGGGATGGAACCCGCAGCCTAGGTGTGTGCCCTGACTGGGAATCAAACCCACAACCTTTCAGTGTATCGGACAACACTCCATCAAACTGAGCCACACCAGCCAGGGCAGACGTCTCTTTTTATTTTAACACTAAATTATTTGGGGAATAAAAAATGGATTACATAAAAACAGTAGTAAAATTTTATCATTTGGCAGTAATGGCGGGGTGGGAGGTAAGCAGGTAATGCTTATAACCCTAACTTGTAAGATGTATTTTTTTTTAAATACAAATTTATTCCTTTCAGAAAAAGCCCTGGCACTTCTGATTGGGGTCAAGATGGAGTAAGTGGGACCAGACTTATCCTCTTACCTAAAACAACTAAAGATACAGGTAGAATAAATAAAACAATGGTTTGAACACACTGGATGTTAGGCAGTGAAGGTGAATATCAGCAAAGCCTTACTGATGGAAACGCAGACTCATGCCTATCTAAAGGAGATCCAACAAGTACAATGGAATTTGGGCTTTTTGTTGCCAAATGTTTCAGTATTCTCAAGGGAAGCTGGAAATTCAAGCTTTATATGAAAGTTACAAATTTAAAAATGTTGGCAAGCATCTTAAAAAAAATTTTTAACCACCTTGGCCAAACAAATATAGCCAAACCCTTTCAGTCTTTGATCTCTGAATCATATAATTCATTCATTCATTCAATATTTCGTCAGTGTGTACTACATGCCACTCTAGACACTAGGGATACCACAGAAAACAAAACAGACAAAGATCTCTACCCTATTTGCAAAAACGGTAATGCCAAACTATGGTAGCATATGCGAATATAAGTAAATCTAAAGGAATAGACACCCAACTATTCATAGTGGTTATTTGGATGGCAGGATGGTGGCTGTAAGGGATTTAGTATTTCCATCTTATAGATTTCTGTGCTGTTTAAGTTTTTACAGCACCTGTTATAACTTCTGGAAGCCTCCAAACCAATAAAGGCAACCATTTTTGTAATTTCCATTGGTTTCCACTGGCTTCCATAAACTTTCAATATGGTAAACCAAGCCTCCCTCTATTTTTCCAGGCACCTTCCCCACCTCTCCTTCACCCACTCCTGAGCTCCCTGCCCATGGATCTACTTACACTTCTCAGGAAAGAAAAGCTCTCCTCTCTACAAGGACAACGCACATCTATTTACACTGCTTAGCTCTGCCCAGATGCCCAGCAAACTCCTGCTCATCTCTCATGACTTACGCCGAATTTTAAAAAAGTATTCTACTGACACAGAAGGAATAACATTATATGTATATAAGGAGTTTTTTTTAATTACCATTTACATCACTGACAATCAAGTGTCACTTAGAACAGAAATAGTGCCTGGCAGCCCATAATCCTTGGTGTATCCTTAAGGAAGGGGAAAGAATGGGAGGGAACTCTGCTTACACAGTTTCAAAGAGCCTGTCACTAGGCTACACGGAGCACACGAAAAAAATCGAGCCTGACACATCCACTTCACAGAACTGGAGAAGGTCAACACCCAGAGCTGGCAGGCTGCTGGGATTACCAAATTAATGATGTGAGAAAATTAAACAATTTGGATTGTTAGCCTGCAGGAACATTTCAGACCCTTAATTCTGCAAGTGCCACCTCGGAAGGAGCGAGGCCGGCGCTCGCCGGCACTCACAGCCGAAGCCGGGGCGACGGTTTTTAACAACTCCGCTGAAAATGACTTTTTTCCCCCCTCTAGTTTCTATGGAAACAGCTGTCAGATTGGCAAAAATAGGGCATGTGCTTCAAAATAATCATTCAAGCAAAGTACACACATGATGGAAGGCTTAAAAAATAAATTGGAAAGCAACAGACTTGGTGGGTCTTACGCTTCCAG